CTCCCTCCCTCCCTCCCTCTCTCTCTCTCTCTCTCTCTCTCTCTCCTTTTAACAGTGTGTTGGTATATTGCCAAGACTGGCCTTAAGCTCATGATTCTCCTGCCTTGATCTCCAGACTAGCTGGAACTATAGGTGCATGCCACCACATCTGGTTCCTTCTGTATTTCCTGTCTACCATCACTACAGCTTAGCTTCCTTCTTCACAGTTATCTCCCATTCACAAGATGGCTGCTACAGCTCCAGTCATTATATTTGATTTCAAGGCACCAGGGTGGAACAAGGGGCAAGAGATTGTGCCTGCTAGCCCCTTATAAAGATTTTCCCAGATGATTTACTTCCACTTATATTTGCTTACCCATATCTTCTAGGCGGTTGGGAAATCTGAATTTATAGCTGAGCACATTGCCATACCCAACAATATAGAGGTGTTATTGTTAAGTAAGAGTGGGAAAATGGATATTGGATATACTACTTGCAGACTGCTACAAGTATTCCTACAAAAACCTTAAAAGCAAAGTATTAGCAAATAGAATAGAATTTTTCCCTAAAAGAATAGCATACCATGACTAATTGAGTTTTATTCTAAGAATGCAGAAATGGTTTACTATTAGGGAATCAATAAATTAGGGAATTGATAATGATTCTGTATTAATTGGTCAAAAGAGAAGGAGACCAGAGAGCTAGCAAATATCCCTGCAGAATCCCTTGGTAAAGTAGAAATAAATGGATCTTTATATGATTAAAAATAAATACAAAAAACCTCTTTAAAGACAAACAATGTCATCACATGAAATAGAGGAGAGCATAAGGTGGTTAATGAGACCGTACTGTATGCGGGAGCATGGTCCACACTACACACCTGGGTGTGGTGACAACAGGGTGCCACAGGGTCACAGAGATGTTCTACAGGGGACCTGAGAAGGGCGGTGGTCTGGGGAGGCTTAACCTCACCTGGAAGGTTAGGAGGGAGTCTGCTTCCTAAAGAGGAGAAAGGTGGGAATTCAGCCTGGCTGTGCTTCCAGCCACAGATTTCAAATTTAGGTATTATTATTATTTTTTATTTATTTATTTAATTTTTTTTTTGCAGTACCAGGGATCAAACTCAGGACCTTGTGCTTGTGAGTCAGGCACGGCTCCACTGAGCTAAACCCCGGCCCAAGGTATTATTCTTAAAAAGGGCAGAGCAGTATAGCAAGTTCAAGGCTAGCCTGGGCAATTTAGCAAGACCCTGTCTCAATATAAAATTTTAAAAGAGCTGGGAGTAGAACGTATACACACACACACTCTGTGGGGAGGGCTTATTGCAAACCCATCTCTTAAAGTCCAGTCCAGCCAGCATACCAGAGCTATTTTTGCTTGTTTCCCTTTCCAAGCAGCTGGCCTGTGTCCCCAAATCAAGCCAGTTCTTCAGCGCCTCTCGAGACAGAATGGTCATGATGTGGGACCTGCACGGCTCCTCACAGCCCAAGCAGCAGCTGGCTGGCCATGACATGGTGGTCACCGGATTGGCTGTGAGCCCAGGTAAAGTGAAGTAGATCTCTTCCTAACACCTGTGTACTTTCCCAGAACCCTGTGCAAGTCCGACTCACAGCTTGGCTTCTCGCCATTGCTTCCAGACTCATCACAGCTGTGCACTGGCTCTCGGGACAACACCCTGCTCCTGTGGGATGTGGGGACAGGACAATGTGTGGAGAAAGCCTGTGTCTCCAGGAACCTGGTATGAGTTCAAACTTGATACAGAACAGGGCACCAACAGCAAGTGTGGAGTAAGAGAAGGGAAGGGGTTGGCATGTATTTGGTGGTACAGCACAGGCTTACAGTAGTATGAAGGAGGCCCTGGGTTCAATTCCCAGCACTGGGTTGGGGTGGGGCTGGAGAGAGAGATCAGGAGACCCACATTGAGGCCTCAGATCCTAGAGTCCTGATTGTTGCCCCCCATTAACTTTCTCTGAGCTCCAAGGCTCTTGGGTTATTGTCTTAGCTGATCTCCTGATTCTTCTGCTCTAGAGAATCGTTCCACTAGAATCTAAAATGGTGTCATTTACTCCTTCAAAATATATTTTTTCCATTTCTTCTGTGGGCCAGACACTGCTGGAAACAGGATTAGTGACCAAGGCATAGTTCCTGTCTTCCAAGCGCCCATAGCTCGTGTGTATTATGTGTGATATAAAGTGGCTGCTCTCACCTCTGTACATGTAGCATCATGCAGAGAAATAAGTGTAGCCTTTTGCTTAATGTGTGAGTTACTCTGGTTTTGTTGTTGTTGTTGTTGTTTGTTTTGGTTTGGTTTTGGTTTTTGGAGACAAGGCCTCTCACTACCCAGGCTGGCCTCAAACTCACAGCAATCCTCCTGCCTCAGCTTCCTAAGTGCTGGGATTACAGGCATGTGCCACCACGCCCGAGTTACTGTTTTTGAAGGCCAATTGTTTTCTGGTACTAGATCCTGTGTTTGTGTGGGCTTTTTGTTTTTTGTGGTCCTGGGGATCAACTTCAGGGCCTTACACATGCTAGGCAAACTCTCTGCCACTGAGCTATAGCCTTACTCCTGGCTGCAAAACATGAACCTGTTACTTATTAGCTGTGTTATACCAAGTTAGGTAAGCTCTTAGAGTCTATGTTTTCATTCATAAGATGGGGAGAATCACATCACTAGCTAATATTCTTCTAATTACATTAGATAATATATGTATGTGAAACGCCTGTCATTGTCATTGTGCCTGACACACAGCTGATGTTCCTTTAGTGGTTGTCAAATTTCAGTTATAGGCATCTTTTCTAATTTTTTTCTTTTCATAACTCAGGACCTTCCAATTGAGCTACATCCCCAGCCCTTTTTATTTTTTTCATTTTTAGACAGTGTCGTGCTAAGTTGCTGAATTGTCCCAGCTAGGCTGGAACTTGAAGTCCTGCCTCAGCCTCCCAGAGTGCAGTATGCAGTGCCATGTCTGCATTCGGGGTGGGGGGGGAGTCCTCTGTGTAGTCCAGGCTGGCCTTAAATCCACTATGTAGCCAAGGCAGGGCATGGACTCATGATCCTCCTGCCTCAGCTTCCAAATGTTGTTATTACAAGCATGAACCACTGAACCTGACTTCTCTTTTCTAATTTTGAATGCAACTGTTGATAGCAGGATGTGCTTGCTCAGATCCTCCATATTTGTGGGTGTACTGAAAAAGAAAATCCTGTTACCCTGGGTTGTTTTGAAAACTGTCTCATGCCTGTGCAGCAGGGGCTGCAGGGGAAGAGATGAGCACCGTCACTCTTAAGAGCCCTGTGAGGTGCTGGACCGGAGCTTCTGTGGTCCCACCTTAGCACCAGGGCTGTCTTCCTGGCTGCCTCCAGGCACCAGCAGGTCTCCATCACCAGCTGAGTCGCAGGTGCTCTCAGGTTGCCCACCAGCATTTGGTGCACAACCAGCACCACTGCTACCATTGCTGTGATAACCAGAAGAGGCAGGCAGAGCCCGACTCATAGGTGTCTACAAAACACTGAATTCCTCTAAGTCTAATTTACCACTTCAGAATCCTGGAGAAGAGCTTAGAGATACCATTTAGAACAGTTTATAGGATTCATAGCAGAAGAATGACTCTGGTATGGAGACATTTTGAAAATGTTGCTTTTTCCAGGTCACTCACCTGTGCTGGGTCCCCAGAGAACCATATGTACTACAGACCTCTGAAGACAAAACCATCAGGTGAGTGGCAGTGAAGGGTTTCTGGTGACACTCGTGGCTCCCAGGGTGACCTGACTGTTTCTCACACTCCTGTGCCCTTTTCAGGGTCTCTCCCAACCCTTCCCCTTACCAATGCTAGGATCTCTCTGGTCTGGCTCCAAGGATGATCTGGGTACAGAGCGGTGCCAGGAGATCAGTCAGGAGTCAGCTCATGTTCTGGATGGTTTGGAAACAGCTGGCCAGCCAGTTCTCACTGTGGGGCTGTGTTCACACCAACCTCAGGATCAGTCATCTGCCTGTCCTGCCCTATCAGGCTGCCTGGCTCCCTGCTTGCTGTCCCTCATGGCTCCTGGGGTCCCAGTTACCTGCCCTCAGCCAAAGCCCTCCCTGGGGAAGCAGAGTCAGAATCTTCATCAGGGGAATCAAATGAAGTCCGTAGTTCTTAAATTAGAGAGCATGGCTAGAAACTTTGGCTCTCAAAAGAGATTCTACTTAGAAAATGGCAAGAACAAGATAAAGAGGTAAAAGTGAGACCAGAAAAAAAATGAAACTCTCCTGTGGCCTCCAAGGCCAAGGTTGGCCAAAGCCTGTAAATCCTTTATGTCTCTTCTGGAATAATGACTGTCTTCTGTATCATAATAAGTATTTTTTTAAAAATTTAAATCACAGACACAGAAATAAACATTGAAAGCAGCATACTGAATTAACAAATTAATTTGAACAGTTAAGATGCATTCCTTTTACATTTCTATTGGCTGATCTCAAAATAGAACTCAGATGTCATTCAGTTTGGTTACGTCCTGTTTGTCAGCTGTAGAGCCTGAGAAAGTGTGCTGGTTCATGCCACACTGTTTAGGTAAATCCTGACATTCCATTCCAACCAGCCTAAGCGCAAAGAGCCAAGGCTTCTGTGTTGGTGGGATATTACAGGTGTGTTTCAGGCATATCGACTACAAACTCATTAATTGCTTTCATTTCCTTCAGATTATGGGATATTCGGAGGCTGCAGGTGGCTCATATGTTTCCCCCAAAGCAGCACATTCAGACCTACTGTGAAGTCAGCGTGGACGGACACAAGTGCATCTCCTGCAGCAATGGCTTTGGAGGTGAAGGCTGTGAAGCCACGGTGAGAGCTTGTGTGGGGTCCAGGTTCTGGTTGCTGATGAACAAGTCACCTACTCTGGCCTCATGCCTTTGGCCAGACTACATGAGGCAGCTGTGCTGATGGCCCAAGCCTGTTTCAGGTGCTCACTGTGAGCGATGCTTTGCATTCCAGATGCTCTTTTAAGAAGCATCTTTTGACCTAGTGTTGTTCGTATTGGTAATAGACAAGAGGAATAGGATTAGAGCCAAGATATAGAAATGCTAAACACAGAGCCTGCCTGCTAATGTCTTTTCTGGGAGCAGAGCTTAGATAAGGTAGGGGATGCTTTAGAGCAATTGTGTTCCTGTTGCGCATGTGGCCATGGGAAGTTCAAGCTCTTTAGGGAATATGGAGCTCCAGTGTTGGCCATATACCTTCTTTGCAGTTATTGCAGGATAGATGGTCTAGACTCCTCCTCAGTACCTTAGATTTATAATTGTAGAATAGCAGTTAAGCAGGTTATTTAGTTTCCAAATAGAACAAGTACAGCTCCCATTTTATCAAGCATTTGTTGTGTGTCAAGCACTGGGCTGAGCACATTACATGCACTATCTCATTTAATCCTTAAAACAATCCTGTGAGTTAGGTACTATTATAATTCCCATTTTACAGATGAGGAAATAGAGGCACGTAAGTTAGAATCTCTTGCATGTGACTACATCCCTGGCAAGTGGTATATCAGAGTGTTGCAAACTTTGGTTGTAGCATCTCTCACCCAGGATAATGGACGACATGATCTCCAGTGACTTCATTGTTTTGGGGGTGTAGTTCAGTTTGACCTCCTCCCTGCATGTTATTCTCCAGTGAATAACATTCACATAGAAGAAATAGTAGTATCAGTAAGAGTAGAACTGAGGGGAGATGTCACTTCCCTTATTGTAGACATGAGGGATTAAAACAAAATGTCTGCGCCTGTATGTATTTACAAGAAGGTGCCTTTAACTATGGGGTTCCTGTAGCACCCACAGATGCCAAGAACCTGGTGTAAGGCATTTCTTGAGTTGTGATGGAAATCAAGCAATTCCATACTATTCCTTCGTGCTGCAGGACTTGAAGCTTTTACTCCTCTAATCTTAAAAAAGGCAATGACCCTTGCGACACTTCCTTAACCAGTGTTGTTCAGTACTTAGTTGATGCTATGGATGGATGAGTGTTTGGGTATGATGGATGAAGATAAAGGGTTCATGTAGCTAAATGAGTAGGTAAGTGCATGGAATAGGTGGACCACTGGAGGCCAGGAATAAGGATATTAGTGATGGAGTATGTATGAAGCTAGAAGAATGTGTATGATCTGGTCTGTATCCTTTCTTACTTTGCAGTTGTGGGACCTACGGCAGACAAGAAACAGAATATGTGAGTATAAGGGGCATTTCCAGACAGTAGCATCCTGTGTTTTTCTACCAAAAACATTGCCCTTGATGCCTATGATTGCTACCTCATCACATGATTCCAAGGTGAAGATTTGGAACCAAGATACTGGAGGTAAGGAGCCTGCTGTCAGTGCTTCTCAAAACACACATGAAGTCCTCAAACTCTTTCTTTCTATTGCTCATCATATACACAGCTACCAGGCTCCTGCCACTGTCCAGTCCCCTAATGGTTAAGAGGTGACTGAGGGCTGGGGATTTAGCTCAGTGGTTTTGACACCTGCTGTGCAAGTGCAAGGACCTGAGTTTGATCCCCGGTACCAAAATAAATAAATAAATAAATAAATAAATGACTCTGAGATGTCAGAATCGCTCTGGTCAGCCTCTGGCTAGAAGTCAAAGATTCTGGTACTAAGCCAACCTTCTGGTACCTTGATATGTAGACTCATTCCTGAGAGCCTGAATCAGTGATGGTGAGCCTATGGCATGTGTGCCGCAGGTGGCTGTTTGTTATCATTGAAAGCTCTAAAAGGTTTGACATCATTGGCTTAAATAAAATATATTTGGCCCGTCTGTTCCTAATTTTCCTCCTCAGATTTTAACTTGTGATGCTCAGAATGCCTGGAAAAGGGAACAAGAATTACCACTTCTGAATTTGTTTTTCAAGGATTAAAACAAGAACCTCAGCTTTGGTGGGGTTGAAGGGTAGTAAGGACAGGCTCAGAAAGCTTCAGCTTGTTTGAACTCTGATGCCGTGGTTTAAGATCACAGTAAAGTCATGACACTTCAAAGCACCAGAGAAATAATGGTGTTTTATGGAATGAGGCTCCCTGGAGTTCTCCATGTGCTCCTACTGGTTGATTGCTAAATATTCAGGAATTTATGAACTATTTACTTTTTTAAACCTTTGGTATTATGAAGTCTAGTCATGGTTTATAGGGAACAGGAAAGGGGATGTTAGCAGAACCCCTGCAGTGGGTCCTGGTCTCCTGTGAGCCATGACAGCACAGGGGTAATTACAGAATAAAGACAGGAAATGAGACTTAGAGAGAAGCTGGGCCTTAGGACTGATCAGTGCTGCTCTAGGCAACAAAGACAAAGGGCCCCAAGTGGATCTAATATTTATTGAATACAACTGTGGGAAGGAATAGGAAGCTGGGTATGCTTTGAAGGCATCTAGTGAAATACTGCTGAACACCTGGCATAATGGCTCCAGGCAGGACTGTAAGGGAGTAAGCAGTGCTTATCTTGCTTGGATAGAACAAACAAGTACTGGGACCAGATGAAATTAGCAAGCAACCAATTGGGTCAGTGAGAAGCCATAATTCAGGGGAAAGGATTTTAGTTGGGGTCATGCTAACCTCAGCTGCACGTAAATCAGCAAAGCCTTGCCACTTCACAGGCCAGCATGTAGGCCTCAGTGACAGCCATTAGCAAAGGAGCAATACTGGCCCAACTCTGCTATCTGACGTGCCCATTTCAGTCATGTAGGGCTTCAGTATGACTCCTGATATAAAACATTATAGCCAAATTAGGGAAAACAAGAAGCATGTGCCACTCATAGCCCGCTAGTACTGGGCAGGCATGTCTGCTACAATGGTGGAAATATTTATACCATGAAAATTGGTAAGTGTTGTAAATAAATGTTAGGTTTTTTTGTTTGTTGTTTGTTGTTTTTGTTTTTATAGAAAGCTGGTTTCCAAGCACCTAACTGCCTCTGTGATATTCTGTCCTGGACACAAGATTCTGCCAGAGACAAGAATAGTATTTAGAGAACTTCCTACAACATATTCCAGAAACTCAGTTTCCCTCTATTTAAAGAACTTCCTACAACATATTCCAGAAACTCAGTTTCCCTCATGGGAGATAGGGTATCCCCTCAGAGAAAGGAAGTGGGATTGTGGCACTGTGCAATCAGCTCAAGCCAAATCTCCATGGTAAGGACAGACCTCACCTGTAGCCTCATCTGGAGTTGGTTTCCCAGCTGTCCACATGTAATAGTGGTGGCAGTGGGGGAGTAAATGTTTTAAATTTGATGATTATGAACCTGTGACCAGAGAGAGTGAGGTCTGAGAGTGCTGACCTGAACAGATGGTGCAAAGGCCCTCCCCCCGGAGTGTGGACCTGAAGTTCTTGGAATAGTGGCCTTGGAGGTGCAGATGGAGGGAGGCTGGGTCAGCTGGGAACCCCCAAGACTTTCTGCAGGTCCCCATGTTTCTTTATCATGAAGGGAGCTGGCAGCTGTAGATCTGTTCTCCCTGCCTCTGCCCTGGCTTGTTCTCTGGGCAGGTGACCTGGGGCACCTTTTCAGCATGTGTTTAGCAGGTAAGCCCCCAACTGTCTAAATGCACTTCTTGATGGGACAGATCTTGTTTTGCCTGGGTGCCACCCTCTGCAATTGCAGAGATGAAGTGGGCCATTCTCCTATGCTTTAAGTAGGCACAGGACATGCTGTATTCCCTTGGGTTTTTCATGAGGACATGGTGTTCCATTACAGTCACACACACACACTGCAAAATGATGTTTCAGTCAACAGCAGACCACATATACAGTGGTATATGCCACATGGCCCGGGTGTGTAGGAGACTGTATCATCTCGGGGTGTGTAAGTATGTATGTGCTTTGATGTTGTACAATGATGAAATTGCCTATTAATGCATTTCTCAGATGTATCCCATTGTCCAGTGATGTAGGACTGTAACACACTCTTGGTCTAACCTACTGGTGCCCTTTTCCTCCCCCAGCCTGCCTTTCTACTTTCTCCCTGGATGGCTCAGGACCCTTGACGTCCCTGGCTGTTGGCGATGCTGACTCCCTATTATGTGCAAGTTTCAACAGAGGAATTCACTTACTCAGAGTGGACTACAGCCAAGGGCTGGAACTGCAGCAAGTGGCAGCATTCTGAGGCCCTTAGGCCTTCACTGGACAACATGAAACTGCAGCCTCTCCTTTCCCTATGTGGCATTGAGTGTTTCTACATTGTCTTGGGGGGACTGGAACACAGGGCTGGTATTCTTTGCCTAGGTTTACCTAGAAGGTATATCAGTGTTAGAAGTCAATTTAAATCCTGAACTTCAAAATCAGGTATAGAGGTTTAAAAGATGGCTAAATATAGGTTCTCAATCTAAGTTAAATCCAAATTTTTAAAAAATGTATTGCTCAAAATGATGACCAGGAAGTAGTCAAGGGGTAGACTTGTCTGTGAGAATAGAAACATGAACTTGAGTCTGTCCAACTGATATATTCAGGGGCGAGGATTTAGCTCAGTGGTTGCACCGCCTGCTGCGCAAACTCAAGGACCCGAGTTCGATCCCCAGTACCAAAAAAACCCAAAAGACAAAAAAACTGATATATTCCTTGTTTCTACAAAA